GAGAGATGTCTTAAACTGGCACCAAAGGCACCAACCATTGAGGGAAAGAGATAAAATTTAGTATAATAATACAAAATTTACCATGAAATTATTAAGAGAGTGAAAAAGCAAGTTAGAAGACATCTATGATACATATAACTGATAAAATGCTTCATCTAGAATATATAAACACTGCCGACCAGTCAATAAAGAAATGAAGCAGGCAACTCAAGAGAAAGTGTTCACTAAACAAACAGCCATTTCTTAAAAGAAGATGTCTTAATGGGCAATAACCATAAGACAGAGTTCTCACCTTCATTAATTAACAAGGAAATGCAAGGTGAAACCACAGTGAGATATTACTACACATTCGCCATAAAGTCTTCATTAAAAAAATACTAACAGTAACAACGTTCATGAGGATATGGAGCAATGGGACTGTAATATACTGTTAGTGGGATGGGATAAACTGGTTAACCATTTTGGAAAACTGTGCACATGTGCACTTGGGAACACATACAAGAATGTTTATAGCAGCACCACCATTATAGCCAAAACCTGGAAACAACCTGAATGCTCATCCGCAGTAAAATGGAAAAATATATTGGGGACATTCATATAATGGAACTGTCTATAGCAATGTAAGTGAACATACTGCAGCTATAGACAGCAAGACTGAATCTCACAAACAAAATTTGTGATAGAAGCAGCCAGATATATGGCATATACATTCATTTACATAAAGTCCCAAAACAGTGAAACTATAGTGTTTAGACATTCTGGCTTTGGAATGAACAAATAAATGGATGTCTAAATGAATGAATAAAGGAGGGGATAATTTAAAGACGAAATAAAGGGTAGGGTAGATAAAGAAAAGCAAGAAAGTAATCACTGTAAAATGCAAGATATGGTTATTTGGGGAGATGTATGGGGTTCTGGCAATATTTTACTTCTTGACTCAGATGGTTACTACCTGGGTATTTGCTTTGTGGTAAATCATTGAGCCTCACAACTTTGATTTGCACAATGTTCAGTATGTGATTTGCACTTCACAAAAGAAAGTTCAAACATGTAAAATCAAGGAGTGGCTAAAGGAATAGATAGCCAGAAATATGAGAGAAGGGATGAATGGATGATCAGATAAATAGTATAAGAGAGTGAAAAGACATATGAATGAGGCAATGAATTAGTAACTTAGAAATTGTGACATTTTAAAGAATAATAGCTACCATTGATTGAGAACTCACTATACGCCAGGAACTGTGCCAATGAATTTCAATCATTATCTCATTAATCTTCCAAAAATAGACAATTAGCCCCATTTCTGAATAAATGGAAACTGAGATTCAAATAAGCTTAAGAACTTGTCAGTTTGTAAGTGGAAGAATTTTAATAAATGGCAAATTAAATGAAGAGATAAAATATATGAATAATGAATGAACTTATGTTTTGTTAAATAGACAATGATGAATCGATGAATAAATAATGACTTAATTACATGATAAAATAATAAATATTGGATTAATTGAATGAATGGATAAAATAATGAATTGATACCAAAAATATTAATAGATGAATGAATTTAATGGACGGATAAATGAGATAAGCAAATGGTTAGTTGAGCAAATGGATGGATGAATTCATCATTTAACAAAATGTTTGAGTGACTGTCATGTGATAACTAATAAGCATGACATTGGAGAATTGTGGGGTAAACTAAAGAAAAATTAGGAATGGTCCCTGCTTTCTCAGAACTTTTGTCAAGTAAACAGTATGAAAGTGTGTATGAGTGGATGGGGGGATGTCTGAATTAATTGTAGATAAATATATTAATAAAGGAGGAATGATTTTAAGATGGTATTAAGGGTATAATGGGTACATTAATGAGTGGATAGACTAGTAAATTTATGAATAAATGACTCATAAGTTAATGAGAGAATGCATGAATTGATGAAAGAGTAAATCTACTGGGGAAAAGACTGAATGGACGAATTTATGAAAACAATGATAGACGAATGATAGAGGCATGATAGATGGACAGATGATTGAGAGAGTGGTTTAATTCTTCTATATCATTACTGACTGATATTCTGCCAACTTGTTTCATCAATTATTGAGAGAGGTTCTTGTTACTTTATCTTGAAAGCAAAAATTTCTGCTCATTTTTTTCAACCTTTTTTCCCTCTGTGTTTCTTTTTGGATAGTTTCTAGTGCAATGTCTTCAAATTAACTAATATTTTTCTCAGTGTCTAATTTGCATCTGCCATTAATCCCATCCAGTGTATTAATGTATTGTTCACCTCAGATATTGTAGTTTTTATCTCTAGAAGTTTAGGATATGTATGTGTGTGTTTAATACAGCTATAATATCTTTCAATGTTCTTGTCTACTAATTCTATCATCTGTGTCATTTCCAAGTCAGTTTTGACTGATTTTTCTCTTCATTCTGGATTATTTTTTTTTCTTTTCACATGCCTGGTAATTTCATTAAATTTTTATTTTGAAATAGAGATTTACATGAAGTTGCAAAAATAGTCCAGAGTTCCCATGTACCCTTAACAAGTGTTCCCAGTGATGAATCTTATATAACTGTAGCACAATACTCAAACTAGGAAATTGACACGGTGCAAGCCACAGACCTCACTTCCAATTTCAACAGAGTTAAATGTAGTCACGTGTGTGTGTCTAGTCAAGTACAACTTTCTCACGTGTGCAGATTGGTGTGACCACCATCATAATTGAGACCGCTTCCTCATCACAAAGACCCCTGTGCTGCTCTCTCTCTATGCCTAGGCCCATCTCTGTCCCCTTCTCCTGCTGGGGGTCCCATTTGTAACCCTGTAAATCACGAATCTCTTCTCCTTGTCTACAATCTTGTCATTTTGAGAATGTTATATAAATGGAATCACACAGTATGTGACCTTTTGAGATTGGCTTTTTCTCCCACTCAGCCTAATTCTCCTGAGATTTATCCAAGTCTATAGTCATGGCATGTGTCACTAGATCATTCCTTTTCACTGCATGGAAGTGTCCCATGGTATGGATGTTTAAAGATCACCCACTGAAGGACATCTGGGATGTTTCCAGTTTTTGGCTACTACAAATAAGGCTGCCATAAACATTTCTGAGCACATTTTTGTGTGAACGTAGTTTTCATTTTATTGGAATAAATGTCCTGGAGTGTGACTGCTAAATTACATAATAAATATATGCATAGTTTTTTTTAAGAAACTGCCACTATTTGCCAGAGTGGCTGTTCCATTTTACATCCTACCAGTAAAGTGTGAAAGATCCAGTTTCTCTGTGTCCTTGCCAGCATTCAGTATAGTCACTATTCTTCCCTGCAGCTGTTCTGATAGATGTGTGATGATGTTGAGCAAACACCTCCTCGTGTGATTATTTGCTGTCTTCAGCGAAGTTTTCTTTGTGTCCTTTGCTCATTTTATAACTGGATTGTATGTTTTATTTACTGTTGCGATTTGAGAGGCGCTTATATATTCTAGATGTGTGTCCTTTGTCAGATATGTGGATCACGAATGTTTACTCCATGTCGGTGGCTTGTCTTTTCTTCTACTTGCCAAGGTCTTTTGCAGGCAAAATTTTTACATTTTGATGAAGCGCATTGATTTATTTTTTCTTTTTGGATGGTGCTTTTGATGTCATGTCTAAGAATTCTTCATTAAGCCCAAAACTTTTCTCCTATGTGTTCTTCTAAAAGTTTTGCACTTTATTTTTAATTGAAATTTTAATTTTTAATCGAGATTTAATCTAAATCTTTATATTTAACTCAAAATCATTTTGAGTTAATTTTTTATAGGGTGTGAGGTTTAGGTCAAGTTCCATCTCTTTGCCTATGGGTATCCAACTGCTCGAGCACCAGGTGTTGAAGAGACCACCCTACCTGGGTAAGATGTGAGCACCACCCCCTGTGGCTCTTCTCAAGTCGCTGTCCCTGTGACTGATCCACAAGCCCTCCTGGACCCCAGATCTGCTGGAAAATGTCAGCACCCTCAGATTCCTACCTATGCCCCCCCCACCATTCACTATGCCAACACATTGGCCCTGCCCACCCTGCCAGCCCAGGAGGGACCACCCATTGCAGACAGGTGGAGAGAAGGGAGCTGGACAGGCCCCATGGCAGCATCCACAGGAGGAGAGTCTGGGTGGGTGCAATGCCCAGGCCACAGAATACTCAGCTGGGCAAAGCCTCTGGTGCCGGATGTGGGAAGCAGGGATTTGCCACAGCCTGAAACAGGTCCCACAATTTCCACGTAGCATCTCAGCTTTATAGATTTGGGTGGGATATGGGTGGCAGTGGGGTTGGGGGATGCAATGACTGAGAAGGGACTGTGGTTCAAATTAAGTTGTTTTAAAGGAAACTAAGGCAGAGGCATTTTGTGACCCAATTCCCCAGCTCCTGCTCCCACAGGATGCATCAGCTTCACCTGACCCTGCCTCCTGAGCCCAGGCAAGTCCAGGCACCCACGTCCCCAGCCTGGCCCAGGGCAGACAAGTAGTCATTTCCTACACAGTTCCAAGGCTCTAGGGAGGAGGGCAAGGCCCAAGGTCCGTGGAGAAACAGGAAGAGTGCTGAGAGTCAGGGGCCAGATGGGTGGGCCAGTTGTTGCCCTTGCCAGGTGAGGCCTCAGCCAACCCGTGGGGTAGCCAGCCTCAGTTCCTTTGTCTACAACAGTAACACTACTTCCTCAGGTGGACAAGAGCATTGAAGGAGATGATGGAAAACCTGGCATAGAAGGCACTAAAAAAATCAGACACTCCCTCGATTGTGGGCTGACAACGAGAGTTTTCAAGTCAGAACTTCTGGGAAAAGCATAGGGCGTGGCAAGGCTGGGGACTAGCTCTGACGCAGGGCCACCCAGGCTTCTGACAAGGGAGATGGAGGGGACGAGCAGTGACCTGCTTGCGTGTGCGTCTGCCCAGCCAACACCTACCTGGCTCGCAACTGCACCGCTCCGCCCCGCCCCGCCCCTGCTCCGCCCCGCACCTTGCTGGGCCCTCACCTGCTCTGGAGTGCTCCCGTCCTCCGCGTACACCCGGGGGTCTGCTCCGAGCTTTAGAAGCACCTCCACAGCTTCCAGGTGGCCCCTAAAGGCTGCTCGGTATAGCGGCGTCCGACCGTAGGCACCCTGCGGAAGGGGCTCCCTGAGCCAGACCCCAGCCCCGCCCTGCCAGGAGGAAGCCACACGCCTGCCCTCGGACCCCGCCTCTCGGCACTCTGGGCCCAGAACCCACGGTGCCCACCTTGCTGTTGGGGCTGGCGCCGAGCTCGGCCAGCAGCTGGATGGCCAGAGGCTGCCCGCCCGCGGCCGCCTCCGACAGCGGCGTGTTCCCGTGGCAGTCCTCGCACTCCACCATGGCCAATCGCCGCTGCAGCCGCCGCATCTGGCCGGCCTCGTCGTGGCCCACGCCCTCGCGGGTCAGCAGCTGCTCCACCTGCGTCGCCCACCCGGGGTCACCTGTCTGGCCCCGGCTCCGCCCCCCATCCTGGCCCAGCCCCTCCCCTCCCCCAAGCGGGCCCGCCCCGCCATACCCCGCCTTGGGCCCGCCACACCCCACTCCTACTCGGCCCCACCCCGTCCCGGGCCCGCCCCTACTCGGCCCCTCCCGGCCGGGCCACTGACCTCCTTTAGGACCGCCCGGATCTCGCCCAGGTCCCCTTCGAAGGCGGCTTCCAGCATCCGACTGCGGCGCTGCAGCTCCTCCTGCCGCTCCCGCCGCGCCGCTTCCTCCTGCTCGCGCTGCCGCCGGGCAGCCTCCTGCTCCCGGCGCACCAGGGCCAGGAAGGCCTGCGAGGCCCGAGGTCAGTGCCCCCAGCCCAAGATCACTGTTCCCCCAGCCCTGAGAGCATTGTCCCCCTAGCCCTGAGATCGTTGTCTCAGCAGCCTCGAGGTAACTGTCCCCCCAGCCCTGATGTCACTGCCCCCCAACCCCAAGGTCACTGTCCCCAGTCTGAGGTCACTGGCTCCCCAGAGCTGAGCTCATCACTGCTGTTCTGAAACATTGGCCCCTTGCTCTGAGGTGATGGCCCCACATCCTGTACTCCCACCCACAAACCTGAGTCTCCATTTCCCCTTCCTCCAGCCCTGTCCCTGGTCTCACCTCCCTCTGCAGCTTCTCCATCTGCTCCAGGTACTCCTGGTGCTCCTGCCGGCGGCGGGCCAGCTCCTTTTTGGCCAGGAGCTTCCGGAAGGTACACTGGATGATAGTGGCCGCTTGGTCCTCCACAGCTGGCCCTGAGGGTGGAGAGAGGGCTCATATCAATCCCTGTTTTCCCCTCTAAATGCAGCTGAGGGGAGCTGGGGTTGGGGGAGCTCCAACCAAGCCAGGTGTGCCCTGAGCACCAGGTGAAGCCAGCCCAAAGACTCCTCCGCCCCCTACAAAAGAACCAAAACTCTTCTCAAAACCCACTAACAAGCCAAGCCAGACAAATACACCAGCAGAGACCAGAAGAGGGTTTTTCAAGTGGTAGCCAAGGTGGCAGAGAGGGGCAGAAAGTCTCCCTCCCACCTCTGGGGACCCTGAAAGTCCTCACTTAGCCTACACCTTGAAGTTGGTAGGAAACCCTGAGAGAAGACGAGAGATGGCCTGCAGCAGAGAACCCTGGAACCCCAGGACTCCCCTCCTGTATTCAGGCCCTGAGCACCCACAGGCTGGACACTGGGCTAAGTGGGGACTGCCCAAGCCTGGAGAGGGTCTCAAGCCACAGCCCCACTGAACCCAGAAGAGGGAACAGAGCCCCAGGCCCCAGATGAGCACCATTCTCGCCAGGCTTGGCCTCGCCTAGGGCACCCACTTGGGGCAGAGGAGAGGTCTACAGTGCTCAGCCTGGTGGCAGCTTGCAGGGAGGAGGGCAGAGAGGGCCAGCTATGCAGTGGCAGAGGCCTTCACACCCGCCCTGCACCTCAGCATCCAGGTGGAGTCAGGCACCTATTAGACTCTCTGGGCCTCCATGCCCCTTTCTCTAAATGGAGAAAGAAATTTGCAACACATAAAGGATGATATTGAACTCCTGCAAATCTATAAGAAAAGGTTAAGAGTCCATAGAAACATGTTCAAAAGAGATAAACAAGCATTTCCTAGAAAATGAAAAAGGATTAAAACCTTTGAAAATACATTCCATGCAATGCAAACTAAAACCACCATGGAGTATTATTTTATATCCAATAATTTTGCAAAATGTAAAGACAGACAATTCCCAGAGTAGGTAAGGATGTGAGAATGGGAGGGTTAACACATGGCTGTTGGAAGCAGCAACAGCAAACAACACCAAAAACAATTTGGCATGTCCTTCCCACAAGGGAGACATTCACCTGCCCCGTGGTTTAGCTATCCCACTCCTGGGTACATTTGAGAAATTCTTGTACGTGTGCACCAAGAGACATACACAAGAATGTTTGTGCCTGAACACAGTCAAGTGTACATCGGCAGTAAACAAGTAAACAAATGATGGCGTATTCACACTGTTGAATATTACAGAGCCGTGAAAATGAGCGCCTCACAATGAGCAAAACGACATGGATTAACAATAGGAACAAAATTATAAATGTGGCCGGGCGCGGTGGCTCACGCCTGTAATCCTAGCACTCTGGGAGGCCAAGGCGGGTGGATTGCTCGAGGTCAGGAGTTCAAAACCAGCCTGAGCAAGAGCGAGACCCCGTTTCTACTATAAATAGAAATAAATTAATTGGCCAACTAATATATATAAAAAAATTAGCGGGCATGGTGGTGCATGCTGTAGTCCCAGCTACTCGGGAGGCTGAGGCAGCAGGATCGCTTGAGCCCAGGAGTTTGAGGTTGCTGTGAGCTAGGCTGATGCCTCGGCACTCACTCTAGCCTGGGCAACAAAGCGAGACTCTGTCTCAAAAAAAAAAAAAAAAAAAGCAAAATTATAAATGCAAAAGCTGGTCTCAGAAGACTACATATACCCTGGCAACATTTTTGTAAAGTTTAAGACAAGAAAATCTGAAGGATATATTATTTATGGATAGTTAGGTGATTTTTTAGAATTATATTTTTAAAGTAAGGGAATGATGAAACCATTTGTCACAGTGGATTCATCTGTAGGGGCAGATGTGGAACCAAGAGAGGGATACAGCCCTACTGGTGACATGCTGGCTCGTACATTCATTATCCTAACTAAGGTACATGTATAAGTCACATGTCCTTGTGTGTGTACTTTGTTTTTTGGTTTTTTTTTTAAATAGATAGGGGTCTCGCTCTTGCTTAGGCTGGTCTTGACTCCTGACCTCCAGTGATCCTCCCACCTCAGCCTCCCAAAGTGTTAGGATGATGGGCGTGAGCCACCGTGCTGGACCTTCGTGTGTGTGTACTTTGTACCCTTCCTTCCTTCCTTCTGTCCTTCCTTCCTTCCTTCCTTCCTTCCTTCCTTCCTTCCTCCTTCCTTCCTTCCTTCCTTCCTTCCTTCCTTTTTTTGAGACAGAGTCTCACTCTGTTGCCCTGGCTAGAGTGCCATGGCATCAGCCTAGCTCACAGCAACCTCAAACTCCTGGGCTCAAGCAATCCTTCTGCCTCAGCTTCCCAAGTACCTGGGACTACAGGCATGCGCCACCATGGCTGGCTAATTTTTCTATATATTTTTAGTTGGCAAATTAATTTCTTTCTATTTTAAGTAGAGAGGGAGGTCTTGCTCTTGCTCAGGCTGGTTTCAAACTCCTGACCTTGACTGATCCTCCCGCCTTGGCCTCCCAGAATGCTAGGATTACAGGCGTGAGCCACCGTGCCTGGCCGTACACATTTTCGAAAAGAGGTTTCTTACGCATCCAGCCATTCCTTGAGCTTCATTAGTTTATTTTCATTTGTTAAATTAGATTTAACATTTTATTTTAAAAATGAGATGTATAAAATATCTCTGCCATTATAAGTTCTTTTTCTCCACCTCTTTCTGCCTCTCTATGTAATTATGGAAATTTATTTCTGTAAACATGGAGAGAGATATCTGGAATATTCATTAAATGTTTGCACATTTGTTATTTCTAAATAGTGGGATATTGAATGACTTGTTATTTGTTGAATTTTCTTTTGCTTTACATTTTTTAAAAAATCTTCTGGATTGAGTTGTCATTACTATCGCTGTTAGTATGCAATTGTTTGAAATAAGATAAATACATTACAAGTATTGAATATATAATTATTAAGTGTGAAAACAAAAGCTGTGTCAGAAAGGCAAATGATCGTAAGATAGACAGGTTTGAATCGGACCGTCTCACTCCCAGGTCCCTGGGCCACCCCAGTGCCACTCTGCGGGGCCCAGCGGGAGCCGCCCTGAAATGTGGGTGCCACAGACCCCGCGCGGGGTGAGCTGGGCGGCTGGGGACGGAACATAAAGGACCCCGGCGGCTGGGCGCCGGGTGGGCTGCACCGGCCTCACTCTTTGTGTCTGCCCATCACTCTCTGCCGCATGCTCCTAGCCGCTCCGCTCAGCTCACTGCTCTGGGACAAAACCTTGGCTCAGGCTCTGTTTTCCCAGGAACTGGAGCTAGCATCGTGTGCGCCAGCAGCGCTCCAGAAAGCCTGCGTGAGCTGGCTCCTGGCTGCCCACCCTCCCGAAAGCCAGGAGGACACCTTTGCTGACCAGCTGGGGCTGGTCACCGCGTCATCTCTCCGCTCCAACCCATCTTCCTCCACTCGGCCTCAGACTAGCCCCACTCATCCTCTAGCACCAGCCCCGCCAAGCTCCGCCCCTAGTGCAGGGGGAGCCCACCCCTGCTGTCCCCAAGGCTCTTGCTAGCTCTTGTGCCACCACTGCCACCACCCTGGCTGCACACGCTGCTTCCCGCTGCAGTTGGTCCGTCTCCACGTCCTTTCTGCACTCCTGAAGGGCAGAGGTAACAGAAACAGCCAAGTCCCAGCTCTTGGGGCAGCCTCTGATCTCCTGAGGCTGAGCCCAATGACAGCCACCCCCCGGGAGGGGGGGTGTCCCAGCTCCAATTCTGCCAACTCCATGGCTCCTAGTCCTCACCTAGGGGATGAGTTGCTGCTGAGCATCCCCAACGTAGCTCCGGGTCTCCTCTTGGACTCTTTTGGATTCCAACTGCTGTTTAACCAATTCTTCACATTAACGTTCCATATTTAACTTGAGCGAGTTTCCTGTTTTCCTGACTGTGCCCTGATAGACAAGTACTTGGTACCAGAACATGCCAGGAAACAGAGCCTAAAAGATCGTTGTGCAGCTGATCTGGTTGTGTTCTTCACCTTGACATGGTGCCAAGCTGTTTGCCAATGAGAAGTGCGGTGGCCGTAATCCATGGCAAGAAGTGGTACCACAATTAATTAAATTATCACCTGCAGTTGCAAAGAGGCCTAGTCCCCTTCAAGAAGAACCACACAGCGCTGCCACAGTGTATGCAGTGAATCTTCTTCCACACCTTCCCCAGGAGCCTCTGTCCACTTACTAGCATGACTGTGTTCCAATGAAGGTTGAATCCAGACCTTTCAGGAACTACAAACCACTGATTCTGATTAATGCTAAATTCCTGGGGCCCCAGAACACTGCTATGGTCCACCAGTCTAGGTAGGGGCTTGTGGTAAGAAGATAATGGAATTTTGGCCCAAGTTCATCTCATGTTGGTCCTGGTAGTTCTGCAGATACATCCTACAGTTATTTCCCAAGTTCTTGAACAGGTAACTACAAAAGACATACTCAGAAACCATCAAAATCCTCACATTAGCATGATGACCCATGGTGTTAGGGGTATCACGGTACAAAATGTTAAGTGGAAGCCCCACAATTTCTTTCCTACCAGGTCAATGAACTAAAATCCACAATGCACATCTGATAAAACTGCAGAGATTAGTGCTACTCTAAAAGATTTGAAAGACACAGAGCTGGTGATATCTCACCCCCCTCCCTCCAACTTACCTCACTGATTTGGACTGGGCAGAAGGTGGGTGTGTCTTGGAGAATGTCTGTGGATTATGGTAAACTCAATCAGATGGCGACTCCAATTGTATCTGCAGTTCCAGATGTGATATCTTTTCTGGATCTAATTGATACCATCTAATTGGCACCTGTAATGGGCCATTGGCCTGGAAAATGCTTTCCTCCCTATAATAATTTGCAGGTATTATCAGAAGCACTTAGTTTTTACCTAACAGGACCAGGAACGTGCTCTTACATTCTGGTCTCAGCACTAGGTCAATCCTCTCTGCTATAATCTAATCTGGAGATCATTGTTGTCCTGCCATCCCATAAGTGCTGCGCTGACACACTGTG